GTGTGGGTGGGTGTGTGTGTGTGTGATTCGATTAGCATTACCTGTTGTTGGGCAGATCAGGGGTTGCCCCAGAGTATGGACCACCTGCTGCAGGATGTCTCCGACACGGATTGAAGAAGCCAGGCAGTCTACAGTAGGGCGCGCCGTTCGGTGAATCTCCCACCATGGCAGGTGGCCGGGCAGATCGGGGATCCACTGCCGCCCAGCTGAGCTTTGCTGAAGCTTGGCAAGCCCAGGTTCTTGGGTAGCCGTCGCCAGTGCCAGTGGCAGATGTCTCGGAGTCATTCGCTGCCTTGCTCGGAGACTTGTCTCAGCCTAGGTACGAATTGAATTTCCTCAATAGCTCAATTTGGAGTGAGCAGACGTGGACCTTCTCCACCAACTTCAGCGTGAACACAAGGTGAAATTGTGAAGCCTTCATTCGCGCTTCAAGCCATATTGGCTCGGTCCTGTGACTTCGACCACTGCAGGTTCTTCGCTTCCATTGGCAGCCGACTCCAGCTGGTTCCTTGGCGCGAGCCCAGCCCGAGCGATCGGCCCGGTAGGCGAAGCCGACATCGCAGGTCTTCGACGGTATCAAGATGGGCGCCGTGATCCGTGCCGCCAGACAGGAGGAACAGCGGGATGGGCCGAAGTATCCAGCAACACCCTCCACTGTGACAGTGACGTCCCGAAACTCCGGGAAGAGGCAAGCCAGGCCTTTCACACTTCGCACCTCGCTTTCTTATTTATTTCCCGCACCAGCTAAGGTAAACGGAAAAACACTTGGAACAGCGACTAGCCAGTTCATGCGCTACACCTTCGACTTGAAACGGGAGGACTGATCGTCGTTGATCGCCACTGTTTTCGTCTTGCAACTCGAGACTCCTTGCTTGGAGAATTGAATCATTTGGCATTACTGCTCGGGAAGCCAAAAGTAAAGAGGCAGTGCAGACCGGACGCTAGGACCTACGAGCGGCCAATGGTGCCAACAGGCTGGAGGTCCGTGGTTTTGCTGCTGCTGCCCACGATGCGTTTCACGGGTTTTGCTCCAGAAGCTCTCGAATCATGGCTGGCTAGAAGCGAAGCTTCAGCACTTGTCGTGGCAGGTGGCTTTCGACAGCTCCATCCCGGTGGGCGGCCGCTTCATGGCCTGCTCGGGCGGCTGGGACTGGGCGCCTTACACCAAAACTTCGCAGGAGCTCTGACCCGACTAAGTTGTGGGCCTTTTCTTGTCGGAACGCCAGGATGGTGTCAAGACCTTCTCTTATGGGATCTGGAAGCCCTTTGGCACACGATTGGAGTGTAGGCGAGTCTCCGGGATTGTCAAGATTCGAATCCAGAACGCCCAGAGGATTGGGTCACGCGCTAGACTTCAAGACCGTCGAAGTCACAGAAATGCAGCCGAAAACTCAGGCATGTGTACTTGATCTATACACCAGCTGGCTCTGCGTCCATCACGCATGTGGTGCCGCACGTCTTCTTCAAGGGCATGTACCCAACAGAGGCTTTATCTAGCTCAGCATGAGTGATGCACAGTGCAGTCCGTCCTAACAGTTACGGGCAGGTTCGGGCTTGCAGTCTGATCGTGAGGCTCTGGTCGATGGACAGCATGCAGGCTTCACCGTCAAAGCAGCACAGCAGCACATTGGAGGATGTCGAGTGTGCTTGTTCAGGGCACGCCTTATATTGACAAGCGATAGATCGTGATGGCGAAGACAATTGGCCTCCGGCCTTGTATTCGCAGTGTTAACACTGTTTAACCAAGACTAACGTAGTTTCTTTGCCTGTGCTCGACTGCAACCTGGCGACGTGGAGGGCAGCACGACCGCATTGCCGTGGACTATGTTATGTTGGATCTGTGGAGCTTGCAAGGCGTTGCAGCAATATACAAAGATTTGAGCTTACGGCGTAGGGTCGCAGCTGGAACGATGGACGGCGGCGATACATCCGCTACAGAACGGTTTCCATGATGGCCGTCCGTGGCCAGCTGAAGCTGTGAATGTCAACGCTCCTTGTCGTAGTGCAGAAGAAAGGTGAAGGTCTTCCTCTCTGCGCCGGCGGCAGCGAACGGCACGCTGACCCTCCTTCCTTCGTGGAGGCTGGATTGGGTCCGCAACATACCCTCAATTGTATGTAAGAATGTCATGCCTTCTCTGCCTGCAACATTGTGAGGCCAACCGTCAGCAGTCGGAGGATCTCGATCCCAGCAGGAAGCTCGAACCACACTCTGGAGGCCATCTTTGATGGTTGCAGCCCGCAAGAGTAGCAGTGCCACTAGTAGCAGGTTGAGTTGCAGGATCGTGTTTAGCAAGTCACAGGTTGTTGCCAATGCCACGGATATCAAGCTCTGGTGGCCCATCGGCATGGGTGGCTTGGGATGCAGCAATCTCTCGCTCTAGAAGTACTACTGAAAGTTACTACCGCTGCTGCTACTGCCGCAGCTACTGCTTGCTTGCTTGCTTGCCCCTGCTGCTACTGCTGCTACTGCTACTGCTGCCGGCTCCTGCTCCTACTCCCATAACGACTACGGCGACGAGGACGGTACACCTACGACTACGGCTACGGACGGCTACGGTTACGGCTACGCTACGGCTACGGCTGCGCTGCGACTACGAGTACAACTACTGCCACTGCACGTACTACCACTGCCACTGCTCCTCGTACTACTGCTACCCACCGGTACAACAACCAAACGATTACTACTACTACTACTACTGCCGCCGACACCACCACTATTGGTTACTACAAAGTTCCACTATTGAGTGTCATCAATTGAGAATCCTGTTTCGTAATGAGACTGTCAAGACTCAAGACATGTATGTGCAACAAGTGCAGCAGTTGGACCGCCGAGGTGAGCAGCACCTGTATCAGCTGGGAGTTCAGTTCAAGGTGTGGGTGGTGTCATAGCTTTCCGTCTCCTGCCGATATTTATATATACACATCAATGAACAATGAATGTGGATGAATTGATTAATGAAAGACTCTGAATGAATGTATGCATTTACGTATTTAGGCATGTGCCTATGTAAGTACCTTTCACGCTGACGACGAAAGCGGTTTCCGCAGCTTTTAAAGCTTCATGAGCCGGCTCCTAGTTGTAGGCGCAGGAGCAGGATCGTTAAGCTCCTTACTTGTGGCTCTTCTGAGCCAGCAGCTACAGCCGGGCCCGCCGAGCTATGATAGCCCTGGGCTCCTCAACCAGCCATCCGGCTTCGAGGGCTGTTTTTTTGAGCTCCCTCCTACATTCTGGATCGGTTTGCTGACAGGGATACTTATTGGGATTCTCATTTCTTCGCTGCTCGACTTATTGTACCTTTTCAAACAATATCTTGCCGTTGAACTTCGGAACCGATTGGCGACTTTGAGTCTGAAGGGGAGCGGCCGTGCATGAGTGAGGGAGTGCCTAACAGGGACTTACGGAACCTGGAGGCCCCGGCATGCACCGGAAATGTAGAGCCGTAGCCTTCGCGAGGGTCTTATGATAAAAATGGTCCGGAACTTGAAAGCAGTGAAAGTCTTTCGACGTGCATCAAGCCTGTCTAGAATGAGCAGCCACCAAGGGGGTTCCGGCAGCTTGTCGGATGCATCATCTTCGTTCCACATGTTTTGCAAAATTCCAAAAACATTCTGATGAGTATCAAGGGAGTGGCGCCTCCTGGTGCATGCTTCGGAAGTATCAGCATGCTTCGAGCGATATATGGAGTACCCGCATTGTGTTATTCAGAAGCCGGCACTGCAAATCTGTAGATGCGTAGAGTCAGACACGTTCTCGTGTTGGAGGGCGACGATCTGACCGGATCGACACAAACCACCCGGCAGATTGGCTTCCGGCGACTTGATTGTTTCGACGCGTATTTTTCGGGGTGAGGTAATCTTAGAGCCAGCTGTAGACGGTGGGATGTGTCCGCACACATGAACACGACTGTGGCTGGGTGCGATGTGCAAACAGGCCAGCCCACTTGTAAGCGATCAAGAGTTTGGGCCCAGGTATTTCGCTTTGGTGACCGGCAACGACACCGACCCGGCCTATGTGGCGAGGGCATCCACCGAGGAGTGCGTTTTGTTGTGAATTTTGGTGAGCATAGTTTTCCACGAACTTGGGTAAATCCAGAATACTTTGTTTTTCAATCGAGAACTTCGCACCGAAGTTTCACGGCATTGTCCGCTTTTCACAGATGCCAGGAGGGGACCGAGTCGCAGGGCATGTACTTCCGCATCAACGGTGCAGCCTTCTGGTCCAAAGGTGCCCCTTCAAGACGTACTCGAAGATTTGGCAGGTACAGTATTCTTTTAAGCGAGGCATCTTTACTGTGCATGTTGGAGCGAGATTCCGAATGTCTCCAGGTTTTATTTAGGCTTGAAGTATGCACATAAGTCTTGACCGTGGGACACCGTTGGCAAGTGCATGTCTGGAGGCTTGATTTACTTTCTCGTACATGAGGCTTCTTTGAGCCGATGCCGTGATGCTTGAAGTTGCCAGAACATTGCCAAATGGTCGAAAGATTCGAGGGCCGGAAAACGCATGAGGTTGCCGGAGCTTCGTTTTGGCGACGGGTCGAAATCTGTAGAGTCCATGTGGTAGTTTCGTGCGTTTATAAATTCCGAAGCCGGAGCCGGATTGTGCTTGGTTGCAGGTAGGAAGCCTCCTAAGAACCTGCCTCCCAGCCTGCTGCAAAGGTGCCAACGTCATACCCATGGAGGACTCGCTGCTATGCTAAGAGCGCTCATTGACTGTTGAGAGACTTTGCCTCCCAACGTCCTCCAGGTGTTCGCAGTGTTTTTTCGCTGGAATGGGCACCTGTGTTCCCACAGTGAGGAGCTTGAGGGTCGGATGCTTGGGAAAGCTCATCGTGTGATGGTCCGCTCAGCTGCCGAAGGAGGCCTTTGTAGACTTGTGACACGCCAGGGCTGTGACTGCGTATTATTTGTGTCTTGACAGGTATGAACACTCTCAGAGTATGGGGCGGCGGAATCTTTCTCCCTGATGTGCCCAGCCTGTCAAGAGCCCGCGACTGCATGGCTGTCATCTCCAATGGCCATTACAGATGCTGTCTGGTTCAGATGCTGTCTGCTTCAGTATTGTGCAACAATCAACAATGGCTTTGGTTTGGGAGCACTTTGTCCCAAAGCGAACCTAGGAATTCTACGATGCCTGCGACGAACTCGGGGTTGTAGAGCCTCGGCTCGAAGCAGCCTTGGTGCTGTTTCGAAGATATATTGCTTCGGGGCTTGTTCTTTGCGATGTTGCCGCTCTTAGCCTTGATCGTGGATGATCCGGGCCCCCAGCAGCCAAGCATGTCACAGCACGCTTCAAAGGCTTTGTCCGGTCTCGACAAGTTCTAAGGCTGTCCAAGGAGTCTAGCATGTTCCTGACACGAGAGTTAGTTTCGCAGAACCGAGATTGCGAGCTGTAGTCGGCTCGCCCAGCCAGGTCTTCCACGATATGATGTACGCACAACGCGGACACGCCCCCGAGAGGACTTGTGTCGTTTTCCATATTTCATGGATGCACCTTTGGGGACTTGACTCTTGATGTTTTGCATCCGGTTAAGATCAAGCAGTGCCCGCGCTTCTGGCTCAATCCACGGTTTGCAATTCCCGAAGGTGAGCCGGCTAGAGCCTGCAGTGCAGAGGACACCTGTTCAAGACGCGGAGCTGCGACACCAGGTGGGGACGCATTGTAAAGCCTGGCTTTCTAGGGCTTCTATTTGCGTTGGTCTTGTGGAAGGTCCAGCTCGGTGAGCTGTTGTAAGCAATGCTAGAGGTTGGCACAGCCGTCAGAGTTTGCAGTGTTCCAAGCAAGATGTTTCTACCAGTAACAGCAGTGGCTGTGGCTGTTGCGGCTGTTGCGACGAAGCCTGTTGCAAAAGCCTTGGCGCTGTGGACTCAAACCTCTTGTATTGCTCAGGTACGAAGGCTCTCCTCGCATCCGTCGATCGTGATTTGGGATGGCTGCAATGAGTGCACTGTGGCTTGGCGTGGCATCCATCGACACACCAGGGCCCAAAAACTCAGTGTTGCGAGAGGTCACCATGGGTAGCCCCACAGAAATCTACGCCACCTTCGTGATGTCGGTGGTTGCCGAGGAGGCTCCTGGGGCCCAGGGCTCTGGGCGAGTTTGGGCTGGGCGCGGATGCCTGCTGAGGACAGCTCTCGATCGATCTGGCCCTCTTGCCCGGCCTTCGGCTGGTCAACAGGACCGGCTGTCCTGGTTGCACGCAAACACTCAGTCCAGCCTTGCTTGAGGAGTCCACAAGCTGGACAGCGCTCCGAACGGCAACGTGTTGACCACACCCGGGACGGCCCTGGGTTACCAAGTCGAGGGCGTAAAACTACGTGGAAGCGATCATGTCACCGAATCGAGAACAAGATCGCCCGCCCGCACGAACCCAATCAACTTGTTGTTTTGACCAGATCCTTTCACCTCAGTATATCCGACGTCAATCCCGACGTGACATGGGGAATCCCTGGCACCAGGAAAGCTGAGACGATCGAGGTACACGGCTACTACCAGCATGGCGATGGCCATTCAGCTGCGCAGTTGTACTGGAGTTGTTTGCTTACTTCATTCCAGGTCCAGGAGGGTATTGATTGGGACACAATGCCTGCCGGTGCCCTGACACTGCATTGCCTGATTGCCTGTGCCCACGCAAGAGCAGCTCGCAAAGCTGCACACCTCTGTTTGCACAGCTCGATGCAGGCTTCCCAACCATGAATGGCGAGATCAAGATGCATCCCTTCAAAGCCAACCTGCCCATAAAGGCAGCCTTGCTTTCGGCTGGTTTAGCTCACAAATCTGGCGATGGCTTTGTTTCTTGGAGGGACGAAACTGCAGACTGCATCTTCTCCAAATCGTGACAGCTACGGTACCGCAGCGAGTCTGTCTTCGGGTGCTGTAGGAGGAGGAGGAAAGCGGCATCTTCCAGCCCTCCGCCCTCCCTTTCCGCAGACAGTTGTGCCAATCATGCCATTGCAATTTTGTGGATTGCAAGAGGTTTCTACGGATCCCACCGGCTTGGACCGCAGGAGCATCTTCGCTTCGGAGTTCGGAGCTGTCGTGATGTCCTCCTTCGATGCATGGTTGCGCGAGTAGTTGAGTAGTTCTGCCTGTCATAAAGAAGCCCTTGTTATGTCTTTCCCGCAGTCCGTTTTTCGTAGTCGAGTTCAGTTTTCGCGAAGTGCGGGTTTGTTTGCGGTGGATGTTCTTGCGAGGGATTCGCGGGAGCCTTAAATCCCAATGCATCCCAGTGCCCCGAGGAATCCATGGCCCCGACCCTCGCTCCCGAACACTGGGGACTTCATGCGGGCCAGCCGAGCGACACCCGGAGCTTGTGTTGGGGTTTTCAGGAGTTTTCATTGCCTCCAGATCCTGCCGTAGCCATATTCCATCCTTGCTGAGCATATGCGAAGTTGTGCCTGTGGATGGAACTGGTTTTTCAGCTGTCTCAGGATACTTGCAAGCGTGATGTGCGCGACCACAACCAGTGCCAAGGACAGAAGGTTCAGCTTCCGCGCACCTCCACTGCTCACACCCCTGTGCATTTTGATACACACTCTGAGCACTCTTGACGGAGGCTCAAACGTGATGGCTCAGCGGAACTACCCGTGCGACAATCTCATAAATGCATACTTCGGATGCTTGGCTGAACGGCTCCTGCTGCATGATCACGGTGCATGTTTCGTCTGTTGATTGGACCTGTTGCAGGAGCCGCTGAAGTGAGGATTGCCATTCGAGATCCACACCTGCAGAATTGTGCACAGCAAACGTGCCTCTCGCACCCCGTGCGTATCGGCGCACAGTCTAAGGTGCATGTGCGATTTTCGTTTAACGTACATGCGCCCCTTGTGTTTGACTTGCACGCACGGGAACCTGCAGCTGCGCACGAGAACATGCGGCCGTGTGTGCTTTCCGGCATTTTCTGGGGGGTGCGGGGAGGGGGGAAGGGCGAGGGGAGGAGGTCCCGAGTCTTGGTACTAAACTTTGTAGACCCTCCGGTTTCGTGCCGTGCAATACGCATACGGTAGTTATTGCGTACTCGAAAGGACCCTATGTGCGGCTTGGGTGCGCATTTTGCTGCGAGCGCCTTTTAGACGTTTTAGTGTTCTCGCCTTAAACTCGTTGGCAGTGCATATGACGTTGCCCCAGTCAACTACCCGCAACGTGAAGCTACGAGAGCGCCTACTGCCATGAAGAGAAGAACGGCGAGTTTGAGTTTCAAATGCCATCACTTTCTTTTCAGTCAAGGAGATCATTCTGATAGTTACTTCAACAAGACCGGAGAGGGCATCTTCAAACAGCAGCTTTACCAGTGCATGTTATCCCAGGCCGAGTGACTTGACAGCGATACAGGGGCAGAGAGACGGCCGAAATCGCAGGCGCTGATCCTGAAGGCGGATATCGAGACCAGGCCGGGCTCCGGGCTCCGCGATGTCTCCGCATGCGCGTCTCCGTCCTGCGTCGCCCATCGTCGCCCCTTCGGCCTCTTCGGCGCATCTTTTTCTTCAGGCGCTCCGCGAACCAGTTTGGTTGCCTGGTCTGGCAGCTCAATGAGATCTGGCCCACAGGGGGCTGGGGCCCTTCGGCTATGAGGTTTACAGCCGAGACTACTAATTGAGGCGGTCTGCCAGAACACTCCTGTCACACACACACACAGCTTTATGATGTCTGGATGTGTCTGAGGTTCATTGGAGCAGCTCGTCTCGGTGAGGGCTCGTGTTCTGGGCGTTCGGTGGATCCTGGAAATATTTGCAAGCTTCGGGGTGGCAAAAACTCGTCTGGGGATTGCTGCGCTTTGTCATCTTTGCCGAGCAAAAGCCTTCCAGCTGTGGCCTGCAGGTATGGCACTCCAGTAAAGGGCCAAGTGCTCGGGGGACGATGGAAGCCGTTGCACTACTTTTTCAGGCGACGTTTTCGGGATATAAGGATATCTGTGTGTGTACTGTGTAGCGGCTTTGAATCGAGATAAGTCTCTGTCTTTGTCTGGCCTACCACTAGTTCTCTCGGCATGAGAAGCATCACTACCAGAAAAAAATGAAAAAAAAGGTTGGAGCAGGCGCAGTGCAGACCATATTGTGAACCTATGACCTGTTTCATCTATGTGGCACGAATCCGTTTCGAGCCTGGTCTTGTGCTGTCCGCTGCAGTCAGCTAGGTCAAAACATAGGGGAAAATAGCCCAGCTTCTATCGTTTTGCAGTTTTGCACACATGATATCGACACTCCGCCTGCTTTTTGAAAGGGGTTAAAGGGATTTGTGCACGTCGTAGCTTGGCTACAGGCGGTCGGTTTTCTCTGACATCATGGCTACCTGTGGACGGGAGGGGCAGTGCCCCTGCTGCAAAACGCCTGGGCTTATGTCAATCAATGCTCACTTGTTGCATCATGTCAACCGGTTGCTGATGTTGCTCGAAGCTGCAGAAGCGATCCCTCTCTTCACAAGCCCTCATGCAAGGTGCTATGTCAAAAATGACAGCCCGTGGCCTTTTCAGGGCTCCTGGGCGGTCAGACTGTAAGCGGTTCGCATTCGGTACCTCGATTTGGGTTCTGCGACACGCGATCCTAGCTTTTTGTCTACGGCATCTGCTTTCCCACCTTGTTTTCCCAGCTGGGTTGTACAGAGTTCATTCAGCTTGAGTTCGCTACGTAGAGGCTGATTACCGTGCGAGGATTCCAGCATGTACCTTGTCATTCTGAGGACGATGCAATGTCATGGCCTTGTGACCTGGCTGCACCTGCACGGTCCCGAGGCTTGCCTTTAAGGCCGCAGTGCCTGGCTCAACGTGTAGAGCATCACCTCGTTTGGTTAGAAGCATGTTTCCGAGTCATAGACCTGTTACTGCATGCTCAAGGATGCGGACTGTGTTATCTGTTTTGCCTAATCCATTTTCTGATGTTTCGTCCAACTGGGCACAGACTTTCGAGCCCAAAAAGCTGTCTGCATGAAAAATGTAGCTACCCAGTCGCGTGCGTTTGAGCGTTTGAGGTGTTTTGGTGATGGGCGCCGGATGCCGCTGCACGGCCTTGACTTGGATCTGATGCAGGGACCTGGAGTCAAAGAACTTTTCAAGGCGATGATTTCTGCGCGAGAGTACCACCAAAATGCTTTTGATGGGAGGGGCAGTTAGCCTGAGTAAGTCCAGAAGCAAGTGCAAAGTTTTGGTGAGACGTGTGTCGACTCATGCACCTGGTGTCAGGTGGACATCCAAAACATGAGCGGCACCGACTACATGCTGTTATCAGAGTGCTCGACCAACATCAAGGATGACAGAAGAAGGTGCTTGACTGCATGGAGTATGCAGCGAGCAGCCGGAATTCGGTGGGGTTGCTGCTGCCACTCGACCCAGGCAGATTGTCACGGCTTTCGGCGCATCTGAAGGGAATGTCGTGCCTCGATTGGATTGACTGACTGATGGGTCTGTTGGTCCAGAAAGCCTGCAAGACAAAGATCGGGTCGAAACTCTCATTGTCATTGCCACCGTCATCGTCATTCTCAGCATCCTCCTCATCATCAGCAGCAGCATCAATTATCGTCTGCATCATAAGCCAGCTTCAGCATCGGGGTGGTGATGTGTGTTGGTTTCTTTGTTTGGATTGTGATGATGCGCGGGGTTCTAGCACTGCGAACGTCGGAAGAGTCTTTGCCAGGTTTCCTTCAACGAGATCCTCATGGTTTCAGCCTTACCTGTTTAGGGGGCCTGCAGAAGCCTGAGCATCGAATTTCCGAAGTCTTGTGGATTTTCAGCTTCGTGCAGACTGCGGCAAGCAGGTCTGGTCCTGCACGGGGCTGGGACCGGCTGTGCGCAGTACATGGTATAAGGTCAGACATTTGCATGTCTATCGGTTGGACATCTTAGTGGTCTTAGTGCCGATGCTCGTGCTCGCTACTGCTCCCCTTTCTTCGATCTTGGCAGTGCCGTTGGCTTGAACTCAGGCGAGGCCGGCGGATTTAAGGCTTCCGACGGCGAAGGCACAGCTCCATGGCAAAGCATCGAAAGAATATCGAAACTAATGCGGTGTCTCGGCAACAAGCCTCGTCGCCCAGAGTCACGGTCCCAGGCCCCGGTGCTGATGGCCTCAGCCAAAGGTAGTTATTTACGGGCTGCCGCCAGTGCCGCCGACCCCGGGGCGGAGGGGGTTTGGGCACACATTGGAAGCGGGTGGTGGGGTCGGTGGGGGGGGTGGCGTGGGGGCGGTGAGGGCGGTGGGGGCGGACATTGGAAGCCTTCTCATACTTCTAAAACACTTGCAGGGTAATGGGGTCGGTGGGGGGGGTGGCGTGGGGGCGGTGAGGGCGGTGGGGGCGGTGGGGGCGGTGGGGGCGGTGAGGGCGGAGGGGGTTTGGGCACACATTGGAAGCCTTTACATACTTCTAAAACACTTGCAAGGGCGACCAGGGTCGGTGGGGGGTGGCGTGGAAGCGGTGGGGCGGTGGGAGCGGTGGGGGCGGTGGGGGCGGGGGGCGGTGAGGGCGGAGGGGGTTTGGGCACACATTGGAAGCCTTTTTAAAACACTTGCAAGGGCGGCCAGGGTGGTGGGGTGGCGTGGAGGCGGTG